AGAGCCGTGCCCAAAAAAAGAGCGGTTTTGGCCCGGGGCGGCGCGGGGTTTTACTGGGGTGTACTGGGATGCACTGGGATGTACTGGGATGTACTGGGCTGTCCTGGGATGTACTGGGCTATACTGGGTTATATTGGGCTATACTGGGATGTACTGGAATGTACTGCATTATACTGGGTTATACTGGGTTATACTGGGTTATACTGGGATGTACTGGGATGTACTGGGCTATACTGGGTTATACTGGGATGTACTGGGACGGACTGGGATATACTGGGATGTACTGGGGTGTGCTGGGTTATACTGGGTTATACTGGGATGTACTGGGATGTACTGGGATGTACTGCATTATACTGGGTTATACTGGGATGTACTGGGGTGTACTGGGATGTACTGGGCTATACTGAGTTATACTGGGATGGACTGGGTTATACTGGGTTATACTGGGATGTACTGGGATGTACTGCATTATACTGGGTTATACTGGGTTATACTGGGATGTACTGGGATGTACTGGGCTATACTGGGTTATACTGGGATGTACTGGGATACACTGGGATGTACTGGGTTATACTGGAATGTACTGGGCTGTACTGGGTTATACTGGGCTATACTGGGATGTACTGGGATGTACTGGGCTATACTGGGTTATACTGGGCTATACTGGGATGTACTGGGCTATACTGGGCTATACTGGGTTATACTGGGATGGACTGGGATGGACTGGGTTATACTTGGATGTACTGGGCTATACTGGGTTATACTGGGTTATACTAGGCTATACTGGGTTATACTGGGATGTACTGGAATGTACTGGGATGTACTGGGGTGTACTGGGGTGTACTGGGTTATACTGGGTTATACTGGGATGTACTGGAATGTACTGGGGTGTACTGGGTTATACTGGGTTATACTGGGTTATACTGGGATGTACTGGGATACACTGAGCTATACTGGGTTATACTGGGCTATACTGGGATGTACTGGGATGTACTGGGCTACACTGGAATATACTGGGCTATACTGGGGTATACGGAGATATACTGGGATGTACTGGGATATACTGGGCTATACTGGTTATATTGGGCCATACTGGGCTATACTGGGATACAGTGGTTATACTGGTTATACTGGGTTATGCTGGGTTATACTGGGTTATACTGGTCCATACTGGTTATACTGGGATATACTGGGATGGACTGGGTTACACCGGGTTATGCTGGGTTATACTGGGATGGAACTGGTTTATACTGGGATATACTGGATTATACTTGCTGTACTGGAATGGACTGGGTTATACTGGTTATACTGGAATATACTGGGTTATACCAGTATGGACTGGGTTATACTGGTTATACTGGAATATACTGGGTTATACCGGTTATACCAGTATGGACTGGCTTATACTGGTTATACTGGGATGTAGTGGACTATACTGGTTATACTGGTTATACTGGTTATACTGGGCTATGCTGGTTATACTGGTCCATACTGAGATGGACTGGGCTATACTGGGCCATACTGGGTAAAACTGGGAGGTACTGGGGCTGTACTGGGCTATACTGGTGCTAAACTGGACAATACTGGGCTATACTGGGAGGTACTGGTGCTGAACTGAGCTGTACTGGGTTATACTGGGATGCACTGGGGCTGTACTGGGCTATACTGGTGCTAAACTGGTCTATATTGGACCATACTGGACCATACTGGGTTGTACTGGGCTATACTGGTGCTGAACTGGTCTATACTGGGCCATAGTGGGTTGTACTGGGATGTACTGGGAGGTACTGGGGCTGTACTGGGATGTACTGGTGCTGAACTGGTCTATATTGGGCCATATAGAGTTATACTGGGATGTACTGGGAGGTACTGGGGCTGTACTGGGCTATACTGGTGCTAAACTGGTCTATACTGGGCCATAGTGGGTTGTACTGGGGCTATACTGGGAGGTACTGGGGCTGTACTGGGATATACTGGTGCTGAACTGGTCTATACTGGGCCATATAGAGTTATACTGGGATGTAGTGGAAGATTCTGGGGCTATACTGGGCTGTACTGGTCTATACTGGGCCATAGTGGGTTGTACTGGGGCTATACTGGGCTATACTGGGCTGTACTGGGCTATACTGGGCCATGGCGGGTTGTACTGGGACTATACTGGGCTATAGTGGGTTGTACTGGGCTATACTGGGCTATACTGGGCTATACTGGGTTGTACTGGGCTATACTGGGCCATAGTGGGTTGTACTGGGACTATACTGGGCTATACTGGGCCATACTGGTCTGTACTGGGCTATACTGGGCCATAGCGGGTTGTACTGGGGCTATACTGGGCTATACTGGGCCGTACTGGGCTATACTGGTCTATACTGG